GTGTGTGTGTGTGTGTGTGTGTGTGTGTGTGTGTGTGTGTGTGTGTGGTGTGTTTAAGAAGCAAGCTGTCATCTTCTCACTCTATCAGTAATCGTCAGCGACAGCGAAGCTGGCTTTAACTGTACCTTTGATGAAAAGAGGGAGCGATGAGTGACACGAGAGCAGTGACAACAGAGGGGGAATAAAGAGATTGTGACACGGAGATATCTGCCACAGTCCTTTTACTTTTTCAGTGGATCACCTAAATGTTTTTGCTTTTATAGATGAATCGCATGAAAGAGGGTGTCTAGAAACTGGAGAGTCCCCAGAAGAGTCCAGCGGAGAGACATCCCTGTTCTGTCCCCGTGTGTGTGTGTTTATGAGTGTGACAGATAGTGTACGTCACTAAAATAGTGACTTTTATCCGTCAGTGTGTGTTTTTTTTAATTCAAGCTCCGCAAGCTTCTTTGTCATTGAACGGCTATTTTCATACCAGCATGCTATCAGAAAGGAAAAGCGAACAAAGAACTTTAAATTTAAGTGGTAGCGATAAAATGGAATATTTGTGAAAGTGCATCCGCTTGTGCAGCAGGATCAATAATGTGTGCAATAATGCATAAATAGGACAAGAGGATGCACAGGACACATGTAATGTATGTCCTGAATGTATAGATGTGTGTATCCAGCCAGGACATTTTTTACATAAGAGTACTGAATGGAGTCACTCTGCAGAGAGACGGAGAGAGGAATTCTCTGTTTGGAGAGTTTCTGTAACATCACTCGGTACTAATCACAGTGTGTGTCTGATGCGGCTGATCTGGGTGGAGTAATTGATTGTTACAGGACATTAGCACAGTCTCGTCTCAATGTGGCTGTCATGTGATAAGAGAACATTAGAGGTACTGATGATCCCACGGATCTCGGGCACATCTCTGTTGCGTAACGTGATTGAGGGTTGTGGGAGAAGTAACCTGAAGGTTACTCATGGAAATATTTACATATCATAGAGTTGGAAACGTTTTTCCCAACGACAGAGAATTCTCTGTCACAGAAAAACAGGAATCGCTTTTGCAGAAATTGCACCAAACATTTTCAAATTTGCAGTAAAAAATTTCAAAATATTTGGAATGCAGTTTCAAATATTTTGTAGTTTCGTTTTTCTAATCACACCTGCACATTAGCAGAGAAAAAGAAGATTGTTTCAGAGTCTCGGAGTGAGCTCTGCCTGAGAATCTGAATTCAGGGCAACAAAGTCCCTTATACTTGGCTTGGACTCATAGCATGAACTGGATCATTTTATGAAGAAAATTGTGACTATTCGCAATTATTCGTCCAGTTTGACGATGTTTCGTTGAAATGTTTCGGGGGCTGGAAAAAGAATGTGCATGCAGACTGAATGATGAGAACCGGGTGGATTTGTGGTCATTCTTGCAACTGTAAGGTCACAAAATCCTAGAGGACTGATTACAGTAATTTAAAGAATTTGGGACCGCTTTGAAGGATGTGACGTCAGTAACAAGCACATTTTTTCTAATGTATTGTAAGCGACGTATTTGTGGTCTTTGGAGAAATGTGCAATTTTTAGTATTTTGGTGAAAGAACTTAAATGGACCTAAGATGGCAAAAAAGCAGCAACAGGACGACAACTTGTAATGACATCATGAGAGTATTGAAGATACATTTTTAACAAACCTACACCTGCTCATTCATACCACTGATTTAGGCTTCACCTACCACAAGATAATTCTGTCAATCCATCCCACCCTGCAAGTCTTAATCTTTTAACCAGCTGCACGGCCATCTTCGCGCTTTCAAAGGCATCCGCAGAAAGTCTCCTGGAGCTCAGCCAACGCTCCATAAACACTACATGGCCCGGAGACAGGTGCCGTTTTTTGTTGCAGATTAAAAGTCCAATTCAGCAAGTTGTTTGAGCGGCGAGCCAAGAGAAGGGTGCGTGGAGGCCCCGAGGCACCAATGAGTCAGAGAGGGGATGAGGAGCAGAGAGAGAGACTGGAGGAGAGGAAGACAAACGATATGGTTTAAAGAGGAGGGAGAGGAGAAGGAGACAGAATTAGGGCTGAGTTTAGGTGAGGAGGGGGCAGAGAGAGAGAGAGAATAAGACGACTGAAAGGAAAGATAATTGAAAACTCAAGAAAAAGGGAGGAAAAAGTGATTTAAATCAAATTAAAAGGAATAGAGATTGGTTAAAACTTTTTTTGTTGCGCAATGCATGTGTTTAGAAGGTGACAAATTCACGTCATAATCTAATACACACACATACACACGTATGCAGAGTGCGTATAAAAGGATTCACAATAAGATGATTAAGATCTGCATCGATTTGAATGAATGAATATAATGAATTCATTACAAAATAGCTTTCCACAAATAGAGTGTAACTCATAAATGATTGATTTTTGAGTTTAATTGCTTTTTGTAATCTATCTTTTTGGGTGTTCACTCTCCTTTGACATTTCTCATCTACTAACTTTATACTTCAGTGAGCGATTTATTACAACCCAAAAATACGATCAGAAATACACCCTTCATTGTTAAAAGTGGATTACTCCTTTACTACAGAAGGTCATGCACGCAAACACTCACACAAACTGTACACACACGTACCATTTGTCTACATGACGTACCTGTGGCTGATAAAACAAGCATGATTATGATATCTGACACTGAAATGGCCTCATTCCACCACTGATGTCCCTGGAGGAGGCACGCTCTGTGACACCGTTCATGCTCCCAGAGATCATCACGCAGACAAATACTTTGAGGATGATCAGAGAAGAGGCCAAAGGGGCTCACTTTTCTATTTGGCAGGTGTGAACAAGCTGCCCCTGGCTGTCGTTGTCAGGTCGGTCACATTCTAGGTCAAGTGTGTTTTGTGCACCTGTACATATCTATGTGTGTGTGTGTGTGTGTGTGTGTGTGTGTGTGTGTGTGTGTGTGTGTGTGTGGAGGAAGGAGCTAAACACATGAGCTTCGTTAGTGAAACAGAGGCACCAGTGTTTGAATTATTGATCAAGGGAGTGAAAACCATCAACACTGTAAATTCAGCAAATGCATAGGGAGCGGAAATGTGTTTATTCAAAGTGATGAGTATGCCTCTGTGTGTGTGTGTGTGTGTGTGTGTGTGTGTGTGTGTGTGTGTGTGT